AAAAACAAAAAAAACATATACATATATAGTTTGAAGCCGATACTCCTCTATCTCACCTTCGTACGCAGTGGTTAGGCAGTTCTCAGATGAAATTGGTGAGAAAGGGATCTGGACATTTCGTTTACTGTCACATTTTTACTAGGACAACTTGTAACGGGTGCATTCTTATTGCATCATTTTTGTGACAGGTAGTTTTTAGCCGCGGTATAGCAGCTCATAGAAAGACTCTGAGTTTGTTTGTTTGTTTTTTTCAAGTACAAACTTTTAGTTTTAGCTCATAGCTCCGTCCTCTCTTGCCCGATTTGAGATCAAATTACAGTTTGACTCAGGATTGATGTATTTCACCACGCCCAAGGTCTCAAATATTAATTTACTCAAATTCTGCCTAAAATAATTTCAATTTGAGGCTAGGCTTGTAGAGTTCCTGGTGAGTAATAAAATTTAATTGGATATACGCGCGCCCCACACTTGGTATTGTTGGCGCACAAAAATATCTATATAAATATAGCAGTACTGTCTGTTGTATGTCCATGTAACTACTTCGCAGGATATGGATAGATATTCACCTAAATTATTGTGGAGGTTCATTACGTCAATGCGGGGATATATACAAATTTTCAGTTTTGTATTTTGCGGTTTTTATAGGCATTTTTTACCACTACTTCGCCCCCTGTTGATGGATCTTCACCAAATTTGGCAAGAAGGATTGTTGGGTCTATGCAATCTTGTGGATTCACATTTTGTGTTTTGCAGTTTTTATGGACGTTGTTGTGTTTTTTACAGTTAAATATAAGGGAAGCAACTTGTCATGACCTAAGATAACCTTTCATTAACCATGAATTTATATAACTTCCGTCCAAGGGACGGGTACTCCAACTAGTAGCTAATAACAAGAAAAAAAAGGCCCATAGATTAATTTACTCTAAACCTGCCTACAATAATTTCAAGTGCCGTGGCTATTGAGGGTTCCCCCTTGTTTTTAAATATAAAATTGGTTGGTGACAATAATAAAAAAAATATAATAGATCGTAAATTATATAATCATTTGGGGACCACTCAAAAATTACATATCGCTATGGGGGTGAAAGGGTGTTTAAGCCTGTATTACGTTGTGTTACAGGGAGTAGGGGTTGTCATGAACAGTTACATCAAACATAAATTACAGTAAAAACGATTTAAATCTACAAAAACATTTATTGTAATTTAACATAGTTTGATTTGATCCCTCTTTGAGAGAAATGGGTGAGATGGTGTCCTCCAGTAGTTGAATTAGGGAGGGTCGCGGGTTCAAATCCTCGTCCCAACAAACATAGTCGTCCTTTCAGCCGTGGGGGCGTTATAATGTTACGATCAATCCCACTATTCGTTGGTAAAAGATTAGTCCAAGAGTTTGAGGTGGGTGGTAATGACTAGCTGTCTTCCCTCTAGTTTTTCACTGCTAAATTAGGGACGGCTAGCGCAGATAGCCCTCGTGTAGCTTTGCGCGAAATTCAAACCAAACTAAACCAATTAGGTAGTGGTGAATCTGGGAGCAAAATTCACCAATCAGAAAAAACACTTCCAACGAACCCTTGGATGTCGTAACGAACTGTTTTTCGTAACAAAAAGTCCATGCCACAAGCTGTCCGTAACGAAATGTCCCAGACTTTTAAGCAGTGGTAAGTTAACATACAACATTTTAACAATTGTTAAAATTATGAGCAGGCATTTTCATAAAGTTAATGTTCATGAAGAAGTAGTCATTGAGAGGCTGAAATTTGCAATGATTATTGTTGTTTTCTTAGTACGAAAAATTATAGGCTATGTGCACTCTGTCCACCACGGGGAATCGAACCTTGAATTTTAACACTGACACACTGGAGGGAAAAATCTGTAATGGTCTGAGCCTGTCTTGTTTTCTGAATAAGATGACATTTCAATTTCTCTGTTGAGCCCTTCTTCGCTGAAGATGAAATCGAAACGTCGCCACAATAAAAATGTAAAATGACAAGAATAACCATTACAAATTTAAGCTCAAGTTGAACTAAATTGTCTTTTAAAATATTTGAATATTTTTAGCCGCGGCATAGCAGCTCATAGAATGGTTCCGAGTTTTTTTTTAAGTACAAACTTTTACCTCAAAGCTCCATCTCTTGAGTGATTTGAGATCTAACTACAGCCGCAGTTATTCCCTCTTGTTTTCAGTAATTATCAAAAGTTTATTTTTAATTCTATTTTAAAAATCCTCCTATATTTTATAAACCTATTTCCTCTAGCGCTAAAACATTTGAATGTACTCGAACTTACGCCCATTAACACATCAAACACATTCGTGTAATTACAAAAAACATGAACACGGAATATTCATTTGTTTACGCTCGTTGGCTGCTATAATTAACAACTTTCACATCGAGTTTATAGCCTTGTATAACTCACTTAAGAATACTCTATAAAACATAACTAAAGAGCACTACAACAATGGAGTTGGCAAGGGGCTGTGACATGCATGTTCATCTAAGAATACCATGCAGATTTGGTTGAATACAACCAAAACGTAACAAATAGGTCGTTGTGAGCATTGGGTAAACGTCGAGGTCACAGACTCGGATATATATATGTATCAGTATATATATATATACACACACACATCCCAAATTGCCTTAAAATTTGTGTGTACTCAATCAAATGCACAACAGTAAGGTGATATTGCAGGTAAAACGTAAATAAATTTCTGTCTGTGTGAGCATATGTTTGGAGGCTTTTCGCACAAATCATTTAATATAATTCAGGGAAAGTCAGTTACACAAGCTTTGGTTCTGTAACACCAAACAAACTTTATAAGTGAAAAATAATATTTAACCGGAGTATTTGGTAGAAATTTATGCATTCCAAACAGGCTGTGAAATCCAACAGAGCAGGATAAAAAAAAAACAACACAAACTTTTATTAATAATTTTGTAGGCAATGCTTTTGTTTATATTGTGGTTTTGCCAGGGTGAGTGTTGATGTCACGTGATAAGCAAATAGCTTAACGTCTGGACATTCAGGAAATTATTTGAAAGCATAAAAACGCGAGTCAGGCGAGAGTAGGCTATTGATTTAATAGTGAGGCTATTGTAGTTGCTGGATTGATTATTGTTAGGTAGTTTATTAGTCTGTAATAGTTAGTCATTTCAACGCTGTAAATTTTTAGATTGTGTTTAAACAAACTACTAGAAGTGACGAAAGGTACAGTACTGTAAGAGAAAATTAACAAGTAACCGTTTAACTTATTTGAGAAGTTAGGCCTATCGTTCGTTACATAAAACCGTACGATTGAAGTCGAAGAAATAAACTTGGTGTGTACACATATGTGGAAACCATATTTTACCACCAAACAGAATGACAGGAAAACAAATTTTTTGTACCTTGTTATCCTTTTATGAAATACGCATGTGAAGTTAACATAACGTGCAGCAAAGTTTTCGTATTGTATCTAAAAGTAAAAGTAGAAGCATAAGAAACAAATTTCGCAATCGAAATGAATCGTCGCATATTTTATAATCAAAATTAATATATCTAAGAAAAAGTGATAAGGCTAGCAAGTTCATAAATAATGATAACTGGTTCATAAAAATTAAAAATATAATATTAATTGAATACAAAAAGTAAATAAAATGACATTAAATTTACAATATCAGTACCTACCACCACAGGTGACAGAAACAGGTCTTTATTGATTTATCTTAGTATTATATAGCTTTCTACTGATAAAACAAGAACATATTACTTGTACCTAAGTTATTTATTGGGACTTTGTATTCTAGGCAGCAGAAGAAAATTAAGTACTTTTTCATCAGCAAACCAGTATATTATATAAATTTAATGTAGCCACCCCTCCCCAGTGGCACGGCGGCATGTCTGCAGACTTACAACGCTAGAAATCGGGTTTCGATACCCGTGGTGAGCAGAGCACAGATAGCCCATTGTGTAGCTTTGTGCTTAATTACAAACAAACAATTTAATGTACTTTACGTAAGTAGATACATGTATACACGTTTTTATTTTAAATCTACTCATTTTTTCTATCAGGAAGAAGTTAAGTAAGTAAAATCATATTATATCAACAAACAAGAACAAAAATGTTTTACCTCGCTTCGCATAAAATAATTAAAATACTCCAGCTGCAAGCATTTTCTAGCCCTAGAAAAGTGTGGTTGGATATGTCGTTAGTTTCTTGCTTACTTTCTCTTAAAATTTATTTATAGGTATTTAATTTCGTTTATGGTGCACAAGATGTACATATTTATAATTTAAAACACATTACTGAATATTTTCCTAAGAAACAACGGTGCTTAAATTTAAAATCGCGACGAGGTCACTAACAATTCCCCACCCCTAGTGGCTCAATAGCAAATCTGAAGGCTTACAATGATAAATTCAAAAACAGTATTTCTGGGCATACTTAACAAACAAACAAGCCACTAAGAAAATACAAATTGATACTTGTTAGATCACAGTGGAAAGTTCATCGGTTCTGTGCTTTTATTTAGTGAAGACTACGTGAGATAAAGACCTATGATAAATAGTGCTAAGACAAACTATACAAGTTAAACCTTACTTGTAAGTTGTATCAAAAATAAACTTGACAAGGGTAATGGGGTCATAAACTTACCTGATTTTTTATCTTTAGCTTTTGTCACCCAGACGAATCGCCTCAGTAATTTGGTGGTTTTTGACTAAATTAATATTAATGACTACACTAGTGAAACGAAACTTTTTAATTGGTAAACACGGTATTTACAAATTAACGTTGGAAGTTCATTACTGTACAGTGTAAACAAAAACTTGTACATATCTTTTTCCATAGTTTAAATGGTAAATTCTATAATCTAGACCTTACAATAACGAAAGAACAGTACACACAATACAGATATAAAAGTGGGAATAGCAATGAGTTAATGTTTTGTAGATTTGTACATGAGATGACGAAAAAACGGTCTGCGGGTTTATGATGATGACGAAGAAGAACTATCACTAACCATATTTCTCAGTTTTTCATTTTCGTTCTTCAGTTGCTGGTTTTCTTTCAAGAGTTTCGTGATCTCTTCTCTAAATATCCGAGTTTTTTCCCACTGTTCCGATTCTTTAGTACAAGGTGTCTGCACTTCGCTGTCAGTTACAGATTTGTTCGACGACACACAGACTTTAGCTTTAGCGTCTCTTAATTTCACTTCCAGTTCTTCGACTTTATCTTCTAGCTGAATATACTCTTGAACTAGATCATTTTTGGACATAGAATTTAGACGCTCGGCATGAACGTCTTCATATGCCTCACAAAACTGTTGCTGCAAGAAATCTTCCTCGTCTTCAGGCGAGCTGTAAAATTCATCCGAAGAATCACCAACGTTCTCTTTCTGAATATGACGGTGTCCATTATTAATATGTTCATAATCAGGTTCTTGAACATTGTGATCATCCATTAAAAACTGTGTTGTATTATACGGTGCTAACGCCTGTCCATGAGCAAACCTAACTTCTCGAACACGATTTGCTCTCATAGTTTCTCGTTCGTCAACTTCTCGCCTTTCCTGCCAAGATAATTTATAATAAGGCTTCCATTTTCGTTTTTTGTGTTTATACTTTCCTCTCCGGCTCTTTCTCTTACGTTGCATACCTTTTTGTCCTTCAGCATCATTTCCCTCACTCTGGCTACTCTGCTGATCACAGTTGTTTTCGTCATATCCACTAGATGGCTCTTGGCGCTCGATAACTATTGGCCTTGACGTAGACTCTGAGCCAGCGTCTTCTGCTGGCCCTAGCATATCTCTGCTAAATGTTTCACGATGGCAAATAACATCGACATCTGCCATTTTCTCAGTGAATCACTCGAAATAAGCAGACTAAATATTAAACTAATAAGAAAAGGCTTAATATAAGTAAATTTTGAATAACAGAAATATGACGCTTAGATAACACTACGTACCAACACGTATTAACACCATCTGACAACGAAATATTCAGCACCCTGTTTATTATAGACGGAGAGTAGTGTAATCCTCTGCGGTTGTATCTAGACCCGAAGGTACGATACCTTACGCTTGAAATAGTTACGTTTCTAGACTGTTTTTACATAACCTAATTTATAATAACTATATTTTGCACCTTTTTTTAATCAAGAAAAGTTGTTCTTTTATAAAATTTCAATTCATCTTTGTTTGTGTGGCGGAGTGATACACCTTTAAACAGCTGGTAGCTCGATGAAGTTATATACCGCCATCTATTGGCCACTACGAATACTGCTTGAGCTAACTCAAAACAAAAAACTATATGCAATCAATTTTATTGAATACTAATTTAATTTTACACATATTTTACTTATTAAGAGCAAAGTAATCTCAAGGAATGGGGAAATAAATTCTAATTATATATCACGTGTGTTGTTGGAGTTATAAATGTTAGATACTTCATTATTCTAATATTGATATGTTTTATTCATTACTTCTAATAACAGTTTAATACATTAAATAAAAAGCAGTGTAATTGAGTAGAGCTACATATTGTATAAATAGATAATATAACGTCCGATAGTAAGTACCGTTTGGTCACTTTCATTCTAAAGAATTACTAATGTTTATGCTTTTAGTGAAAATATAATCTGTAGAGCGTGTTCGACATTTTTCTAAAAAAGGTGTTGTCTTGTTCAAGTAACAGAAGTTACTATTGGCTAAAGATAAATAATCAAAACTTCCCACTCCTTCATGATCGTCATGTGCCGTCTTCTTCAAGAAGGTTGGCTGTCACAATCCTCCACTTCTGTCTGTTTTGTACTTTTCTCACCATATTTTGCTATCTCGGTCCACTCTTTAATACTTGTTATCTACTCTGTTCTTGATCTTCCCCTGTATCTTTTCCCTTCTATTTGACCCTCTAGTAGGACTAGATCCACTCCTTACAATCAATAAAGAAACTTAGTTAAATCATCAGCTTAAAAACGTTTTATATTTGTTTAGATATTTACGCATGCTTTCGTATAGAATATAAAATAGAGATCTATTATACAAACCTGATGTATGATTGTAATTTGGGTAATATAAAACTTTTGCTATTTATTTTCGATCAGACATACCTATGCTGAGGATTTCATGGAATGATCATACCTGTATATTTAAAGTAAAAGTATATATATTATAGGATAAGGGGAAAAAACATACATAGTTTAAAGGCAGAATTTAATAATATTTTTGTTCGTGAATTGATTTTTTATGTGACGTTTTTCAATTTACGTCTACATATTAAGTAAATTCTTGAATGCCGTTTTGATTTTTACTCCTCTGGTGTCTGTTTTTATTTTGTCGATTAAGCGAAGCGACACGGTTCGTTGTATCAACGTACTTATTATTAAGTTTAGGACTAGCTCAATTAGATAGCAAGTCATAAGTCAAAGCAAGGTAGAATACAAACAGCTCGACTACGCACGTGTGTATCATAAATCGATATATTATTAAGGATATGTAAATATTGATTCAAAATCGTTAGAAACAACTACCTGCTCAATAAACAAGAGAATAAAGCACGTGGTAACAGAGTAACCTGTTAGTTTGAACGTTGAGCCGAGCCTAGGTTGATTTTATTTATTCCCTCGTATCGAAGCCAAACGATTCAATTCAGTATTGTCATCTTACACAAATCATCTTACTGATTTCAGCATGAGAAAATATAGCATTAATTTCTGCACGAAGTACATTCACTTAACCAGAAAGAATGTCACGAAGAAAACGCCGAATAAGAAAAACTGTAACTTTCCTACAGCCACACCCAAATTGATTATTCGAACTCCATCTCAAAAGTAACTGCAATAACAGATTGGATATAACGAACTATTTTCCAGAATACTAAAAATAAATTATTTCTAGAGGATAAACTTTTACTATCATCCTGGGCAAATTCAGGGAAATTCGTATTTTTCATTTCATAAACAAGCAACGTGTCCCTTCCCATCAGGTCACAGCTGTGCTACGTCACAAAGAATATACACATGCGCAAAGAGTGTATCTAACCCGACCTGTCTAACGAGTTTGCGCTTAGAAGTTGTCTTATTGTTGCCAGGGCGAAATGAGCACGGCCTCACTGTACGTAATATATTATAAGCCCAATCCATATCATACGAACGGAAAGTTGTACTGGCTGTTCAGAAATTAGTTATCGTTCTAAGTTGACGTAACTCCCGCGAGTGAGTCTAGGTGGTTAATATTTATACCCACCAACCACAGATTACTACGTCTCGGACAAAACTGGAAATTAGCAAAAACTATTTGTTATATATAAAACATTTATAGACACCTTTTCTTCAACTTAAACGTATATGAAAATTCTATTCCAGAGGCGTTGGAAACGGGGGTGCTGTATCACTCTCCACTTTTACACATTTTACTTATACTGCAACTGTAAATTATATTACTGTATTAATTTCCTGGGGGGCATACCCCCAGACCCCACTAGACTGAGCTGCCTTTGTAAAACCTGGATGTCTAGCCAAGCACCCTCGCTTTGCAACTCCTTCCTACACAACTGTAAAGTTTTTTTTTACAAAAATATTCTAATGAAGCGTTTATTTATTTATTTTGAAGTATTTTCGCAAAGCCCCACAAGGGTTGTCTGCGTTATGGGTTAAATGGTTGAATAAATACTGGTTCAATGGAAATTTTTGGTTTATGCCAAAATCGGCCCTATTGACAGACTGGACTAGAGGGAAGGCAGCTGGTCAAAAGTTCCCACTGTCAGCTCTTGGTCTACTCCGTACTGACCGAATAGTTGGATTTGACCATCACTCTTATAGCGCATTTACCGCTCTCAAGTGCGGGGTACGTTTTTTCTTTTTTCCTGCAACGGGCCGTGATCATCATTTATAGTAAGGGCACGCTAACGACTAGGGCACACCTTGCTGTTGAAATTATAGATGACCGTAAAGCTGTAGCTGTTCGACTGGTATCAAACCAATCCAGTACCAAAATCCTCACGTATTATAGGCAGACAGACGGTTTGAGCATTATCTGGGGATCGTAATGGTAATTGTTGTCCAGTTCTTTTGCACCAAATAAGGCAAAAAAGCCGTGACTAGTTTTTGTGGTGGGGACCAGTTGTTTGTTTGTTTGTTATGAATTTCGCGCAAAGCTACGAGGGCTATCTGCGCTGCAGTCCCTAATTTAGCAGTGTAAGACTAGAGAGAAGACAGCTAGTCATCACCACCCACCGCCAACTCTTGGGTTGCTCTTTTACCAACGGATAGTGGGATTGACCGTCACTTTATAACGCCCCCACAGCTGAAAGGGCGAGCGTGTTTGGTGTGACGGAGATTCGCACCCGCGACCCGCAGATTGCGAGTTGAGCGCCCTAACCCCCTGGCCATGCGGTGCCGGTGGGGAACAG